ACCCCCGCCCCAAAACACACACACCATGCAAACCCGAGCCAAATCTGGAATTTTCAAACCTAAAGCCTATACCATTACCACCCTTGATACTACCCCACCTACTACTGAGCCTAGCACTTACCGCCAAGCCTCTGGTAATAGTTTTTGGTGTCAGGCTATGGATGAGGAGTTTATTGCTTTGAATGAGCAACGTACATGGGACTTGGTTCCACCACCCAAGAACCGCACTCCGATTGGTTGCAAATGGGTGTATCGCATTAAACGGAATGCTGATGGATCTATTTCAAGGTATAAGGCTCGTCTTGTCGCAAAAGGTTATCATCAGGAGTATGACATTGATTACAAGGAGACATTCAGTCCTGTGGTCAAGCAACAAACAGTGCGCCTGGTCCTCTCTTTAGCACTCAACCGTGATTGGCCTCTTCATCAACTAGATGTTAGCAATGCCTTTCTTCACGGTACAGTGGACAAGGAAATTTATATGGAGCAGCCCCCGGGGTACATAAATCCCACTCATCCTCACTATGTTTGCAAGCTCTGCAAATCACTATATGGTCTCAAACAGGCACCCCGTGCATGGTACACACGCCTCAAAATTCAATAAACATATTATTCAGAGATCAAGACCAACCCAATGAGGAGATGGAGAGTGGAGTATAATATATACCTTCTCCGTTCCTTTAAACCCTTCTTATTTTGACTTTGAGCCAAAATAAGGAAAACGTAATTTTGGTTGACTTTTCAATTTTGTCAATAATGTGATGAATAAAAGTAAGATGTGATAGTTTGATTATTAGTGAAAAAATATGATGTGACAAGTAGGGTATGAAAAAATACGAGTAAAAGTTTTTTTTATTAGAAAGTAAATTGTTTTAGGGAATTGGAAGAAAACGAAAGCGGGAGAGTTTTATGGAACGGGGAATATATATATAAAGCAAAATGGGCATTGAATTAGCGCAAATAATAGGAGAGAAGAGCTCCCATCCGCCCCTATATATATATATATATATATATATATATATGGGTTTTGTGTTGGCGTTGGGAAAAATGAGTGGAGAGGGGATGATGATGAGAAACAAGCAAGTAGTTCTGAAGAGGTATGTGGAAGGATTGCCTAAAGAGAGCGATTTCGAGGTAAAAATTTCAAGCATCAAATCAGAAATCCCGCAAGGAACGAAAGCCGCTGTGTTGGTGAAGAATCTGTACTTGGCATGTGACCCTTACTTGCGCCACCAAATGTCCCAAGACGACCACTCTGATAACATCGATTTGCTTGTTCCTTTCAAACTTGGGTCTGTAAGTACACTATTAAGTTATTCCGCATCACATCCTTCCATAACCAATTACTATGTGAAAAGTATATTTACTTAAAATGCAAATTAAGTAAAACTTGATTTATTTTAAAATATAGTTTTGAAATAATAGATTTTTATACTATTTAATTGTTTTAAATTATATTTAATTTGTGATCAAAGAATATTACATTTTGACCAAAAATGTCAAACTATGACAACTTTTTAGAAACGAACCAAGAATTTATATATATATATATATATAATTCAATCACGCCTCTATTTACTTTTGCTTATATCTAAGAGCATGCGCAGCGGCGAGGCATTTCCTCGCTCGCTGCGCCACATCAGCTCCCTCGCCACTTTTGCCTCGCGTGGCTCAGCCTCCCTCCACGCCAAGCGTGTGAGGCGCGAGGCATCCTTAATTTTTTTTTTTATTTTTTAGAAAAATAATTTTTTTTTAAAAAAAGAGTACATCTATATAAAAAAGATAAATGAAATAATTTTTAATAATTAAAATGCTTTAAAAATCGTAAAAATTGACAAAAACAATGACTTGCCACTGTACGAGATGCCTCTCCACTCACTTGCCACACGCTGACTGGATTGTCTTTTATTGGTTGAAATGTGCCACGTCAACGTGTGGCATTCCATTTCGTTACTTGTCATTGCCCGTGCTCTAATATCCCAACTTTTAGCAGTAACATGCAATTTTATTATAGATGACATGAAATTATGTACTCCCTCTGTCTTATAATGTTCTTCCCGGTTATGTTTACGACGTTTCACCAACTTTATTTTCAATTCAACTTATTTGATTGTAGGTGTAAAATTTAAAAATAAAATTTATATACTCCCTCCGCTTGGAAAAAGTGTTCCTTTTTTGACTTTGTATAAAAATAAGGAAGTATTAAATTGTAGTTGACTTCCAATTTTGTCTTTGATGTGATAAGTAATAGTAAGATGTGATGGATAGATTATTAGAGATAAAGTATGATGTGATAGGTAGGGTATGAAAAAGTAAGGGTAAAAGTGGTTTTTAATATAAAGTGGAAGTGGAAAAAAATGAAAGCGGAAGCGTTTTTGAGAACGGAGGAAGTATTTAAAAACTACATCAAAAGTTCTACAAAATAAGTGGTGACAATACTATATTATTTTATCAAATACCTAATGAAAATAGGTAAAAAAAAGTGATTAAAGAAAGTAAGTGAGAAGAACATTTTAGGACGGAGGGAGTACTATCTTGGCAATATGATTTATACTCCATCCGTCCCAAATTATTTGCAACGTTTGCTTTTTCAGCAATCGCGGGAAATTTTGTTTATTTCTATGTTTTCATTGGTTATTTGATAAAATAAAATATTCTTGACACCTCTTATTTCGAAGAACTTTTAATGTAGTTTTTTTTTATATGTAAATTTTATTTTTTATTTGTATACCAATATATAAATAAAATGAATTAAAAAAAGTTGATATTTTCCCTTGGGAATACAAATGTGGCAAATATTTAGGGAGGGAGGGAGTACTTTTTTACCTAGTGTTAGTATACAATAAATAGTTTTAAGAAAAATTTATCTAAATATTACTAAAACATAATGATTTTGTCAATAAAGTACTATATATATATATATATATATATATATATATATATATATATCCAATGTAGTACCACTGGTCATTGTTCAGTGGTCATTGTTTAGGTAAATGTCCAACGCCGCTAGACATTATTCAAACTAAATGTCCACCATCACTGGATACTATTCCCGCAACTAGACATTATTCAAGCACTATTTATATATGGAATAAAAAAAATTAAGAAGTGCGTTGGGAAATGAAATACTTCCCCCATTTCTTAAAATAGTTCTTCATTTATTTTTTTTATTTTCATTAAAACACTTCCATTTTGTAAAAATGACTAACATATATCTTAATTAAGCTGTTGCAATATGCTCCATTAATTTGCAATGATATAATATTTCATTTAAATGATTTGTCTCATTGTTTTTCTTTGACGATAACGACATAATTAGAAGCTTAAACCATGAAAATAAATTCCTCCCAAGTCAAAAAACGAATCGTTTTAAGAAAAGGAGGGAGTATGTTTTATTACTCCCTCCATCCGGAAATGTTCTTCATATTTGACTTTTTGTGGTCAAAGTTTGTAAACTTTGACTACGATTTGTGAAAAAATACATTGTATTATAATTTAAATTTAATATCAATATATTCATAATGAAATGTAGTTTTCAAATATCAAATTTTTATAAAAATTTTCTATGTATAGATATAGATGTTAATGGTCAAAGCGCAATATTAGAGACCGTGAAAAGTCATATGGGAAGAACATTTCCGGACGGAGGGAGTACTATTTAGTGCGAATTTCACATAATTTGATTCCTGTATTTTTTTCATAAAGTAAAATAAATAAACAAGTTCATATTACACATACTATAATTAAAAACTCTAAAAGAGTTTAATAGGGAGTATGAACCATCATGCCACAACAATATTTTCATGTCATCTATAGTAAAAGTTACTCCTTCCTTTTCTTTAAACCATTCCCATTTTGACTTTCGGCCAAAAATAAAGAAAGTTTAATTTTGGTTGACTTTCTAATTTTACCCCTGATGTGATAGGTAAAAGTAAGATGTGATAGTTTGGTTATTAGTGAAAAAATATGATGTGATAGGTATGGTATGAAAAAGTAGGATAAAACTTAAAACTGGTTTTTAATAGAAAGTAGAAGTATTTTAAAAAATTGGAAAAAGAACAAAAGGAGAAGGATTTTATGGAATAGAGGGAGCACATATTATACAGTGCAAATATACAGGACTATATAGAACAAAAAAGCAATACATGAACTAAATTACTTCAATTTTGATCACAATGACTACTTTAAAGATTTTTAAATAGTACATGCACTTTTAGGCATATTTAGTTCACGAAATATTATATACTCACACCGTCCCAACTCCCAACAACTTATTCTCCTTTTTTTGTCCCACAAAGACATTTATCTTTCAATTAAAAAACCATCTTTATCCTTATTAATTTATAATCTAGCTATCACATTTTACATTTTAATTAATAATCTATCTATCATACTCCCTCCGTCCCAAAAAGATTTACATGTTTCAAAAAAATTGCGTCCCACAATCTCTAACTCATTTCTATTAAAAAACCACTTTTACCCCTTACTTTTTTAAACCCTACCTATCACATCATACCTTTTTTCTAATAATCTACACATCACATCATACTTTTACCCATCACATCAAAGATATTTTTGGAAAGTCAACACAAAATTATCCCTCCCTTAATTTCTACTTTAGTCAAAACGTACCCATCTTTATGGGACGGAGGAAGTATCATATTTTTACTTATCACATCAAGGGTATTTTTGAAAAGTCAGCACAAGAATATTTTTCTTTTAAATTTCATAAAAGTCAAAATAAGAACATCTTTATGGAACGGAAGAAATAAATCTTTTGGAAAAAGTGTAGTATTATTTATTGATATATAAAATGTTAATATGCTTTGATTATTTTAGATGACTCACCCAAGTTTGTTCACTAAATACGCAAAATATACAACAAAGATAGGAAAGTGTAGGGTTATAAAATTTGATTAGGGCGTATAAGTTTATAAGCATGATTTATTTTTAATTAAATAAAAACAATACCAAAAGTTCAAGTAATTCTTGGAGAGAAGAAACAAAATTAAGGCAATGCTTGGTGATACAATTTGATAATAACTTGTCTTATTGAATATTGATAGATATGGCCCTATATATAGGGAATACAAGAGTAATCAAAGTACAAGTAAGAAAGGAAAGAATAATCCTAGTAGGAAAGGAAAGAAGTATCCTAATTTAATTATACTTCCTAATATCCCCCCGCAAGCTGATCAACGGAGACGAGGGGCAGCTTGGAACATAAGTACTCAAAAGGAACTGGCGGAAGCGGTTTGGTAAGAATGTCTGCTAGCTGCTCTGAGGAGGAAACATGATGTGGAGTCATAGTGCCTGCCATAACCTCATCTCGTACAAAGTGACAGTCTGTGCCCACATGCTTCATGCGATCATGAAGAACCGGATTTTTGGTGACACAGATAGTCGACTCATTGTCACAGTATAACTTCGGTGTGGACGGAGGAATACCTAGTGCATCAGTGATATATCGAAACCACATAGCTTCTGCAACCCCTGCAGCCATAGCTCGATATTCAGCTTCAGT